AAACCCCACTAACATACTAAACTTATTTTCCAACCTGGACTCTCATGCTTTATCCGTTCATATAATACCAAATGGTACCATTATTGAAGTTTAGTACCATTTAAGAACTTTTCGTCACCTTGAAGTTCGAATTTCCAAAAACCTTTTGGTATGTCTATTGTACACTCCATCTGTAGCTCTCATTCCAAATTTAAGAATTTCAGATCTTTCCATTTTTCCGTATTCAATTTTTAGTACATGTTAGTTCTTTTCGTACCATTTAAGTACACATTTATGTTTTTTTTTTAATTTTTTGCTCGAGGATTGGATGACTATATTCCATCCTTAAGCAGGGTCCTTTTACGCAATACCAATGCAAAATAGACTTGTCAATGAAATTTTTTAAAATGCAGAATATTTAACTCAGAGATATCCTTTCTAAAGGTCTTTAAGTTAACTAAATATTACTCTCACTTCAAATATCATTCCTCCCAAACTTTTATATTTCCATCAAAATTAAAATTCTTTCCAACCACAGTACTTGCCAGCAAATTATTGCCTACATATGTACGGGAAAAACGTATTTATGTATGCATATCTCTCTCTGTCTGTCTGTCCGCCTGTCTGCCCATTACCTGGTATTTCTACATAGTCAATTTGTTCACAGAGTTGCGTTACATTACGCATATTTAGTATATTTTTGCGAATTGTGGCCAATCCATATTAATTTATTGGCTCATGTATTTATTTCGAACCGGCCAACAATCACCGCTGCCGCCTGACAACTGCCAAAAACTTTAAATCGCCTGAAAATTACAAACATAAATTTTTTGGGATTTACTTAACCGCATTTAGCAGCTGTTCATTAAAATGAAATCATATTTTATGTGGAATCGATTTTGTGAATACGATTCTGGAAAATATTCGAAATATGAATAAACAAAAATAAAAAGTATTTTTTTTGGTTTTGTGAGCTTAATATTCAACAAAAAAAAATATTTTATTGAAATTTTTGTATTAGATTTGGGAAAGTTTATTCACACACATGTGTCTTATATTTATTAAACAACACTGACTGAATCTTGGTGAATAACATCAGTTCGCATTACTAATTAGGCAAACTAAGCGGAGGAACATGGCGAAAAGAAAACCACTTAGCTCAAAATACAACCTAAAATGTACTAAAAAGTCCATGAAACAGTTCGCGTAACTAATTAGGCAGATTAAGCGGAGGAAAATGGCGAAAAGAAAACCACTTAGCTTAAAATACAGGCCAAAATGTACTAGAAAGTCCATGAAACATGGAGGTTGCAGTATTACAATATGGGATGGGGTCCATATTGGGGTGGACACATGCATGGGATAAATATATTCATGGACTAACATATTGGCATTGATATTATATAACCGGTAAGGAAGAGTCAAAAGTCGGGTGCGACCGACTGTATGATATCCTACACCACTATGCATATTTAGTAGAACTCCCATAACAAAAGAATTTATTTGAAGTAGATCATACCACCTATCTACATTTGGCTTTAGAGCAGTTACAGTTTTGGTTTCAAAGGGAACTAATATATGGGAGGCATATCCAATTCTGATTCGATTTTCACTAAATTTGACGGAGACATTTCAATCTTAACAAAACATAACATTGCTATAGAGTGCGTGATATCACTTCGAGAAGGATTATTTTAAAACAAGCAAAAAAGTTGTGAGTTCGGCCGGGCCGAACAATTTAAAAAAAATTAAAATCCATTAAAAATTCTGTTAAAATCTGGAAACTACCGAATGTAGCCATATATTAGGGTATATATGACGACGTGGGCCTGCATAGGCAACTTTTGTAAAAAGCTATTATAATATTAAAATACGTAACTTGAAAAAAAATATGTTTATAATGTAGCTAAAATAAATAAAATACCGAATATAGGGAGGTACCATACGTGGACTTGCAAAGACAATTTTCTGACATAGGCTGTACTATCCATTACGAAATTCAAATACCAAATTTGAAACAATTCCGGTAAATAATGTCGCTAAAATCATCAAAATACCGAATATCAGGAGGACCTACATGGCCCATTTTTAATACCATAAGTCCTGCTGACATAATACACATTTGAGTAAAATTTTATCAGCCTACTCCATTTCGTTCGGAAGCTAGAGTGATTTCCACAGACGGACAGATGGATGAACTGACAGACAGACGGACCGACATTGCTAAATCTAAATAGAATTTTATGCTGATCAAGAATATAGATACTTTGTGGGGTCTAAAATGTATATTTCGAGGTGTTACAAAGGGAATGACAAACTTAATATACCCTCCGTACTATGGTGAAGGGTATAAAAATCATATCGAAGCCGAGTTCCACAAAATGGAAATCTACGTCCAGAAATACACTCCATTTGGGCTGATAGTAGCCATTATTTGCACAATAAACCTGAAATCGGATTAAGGATATATATGGAAGCTATATCCAAATCTTAGCCAATCTCAAATTTGGCAGAGGTATTTCCGATATCTATAAGATATCTGTTGTCGTATGCATATTACGAATGTGAGGGACTTAAACACCAAATCGGATGAAACCTATATATGGGAGCTATAGCTATATCTGAACCGATTTTCTACGAATTCGATGTACTTGCCTCTGGACTGAATTCGGTGGGATGTACCAAAATTCAGAACATTTGGACTGATATTTGCCATTTGGTGCACAATTAACCCGAAATCGGTTGAAGATATATGGGAGCTATATCTAAATCTGATTCGATTATCACCAATTTCAATAGGGTTCGTCCTTGGGCCAAACGAATATTGTTTGCGAAATTTAATCTCAATCGGATAATAAATTCGACCTCCATTTTGTTCACAAGAATACATGGACGGACGGACTGACATGCATAAATTGAATCAGAAAGTAATTCTATGAAGATCCTCAAAATTAATTATGGGTCTATCTCGCTTTCTGTTCCATGTTAAAAACAAATGCACAAAAACACACCTTTCCTAAACCGCAAACAGCCACCCTCTTTCTAAATTTCAAAATTCTGACTTGTTTTCTCAATATAAAGTATTCAATTTTTAGTCCGTCTTTAGTTCGAATTTTCGAAAACCCATCACATCTAAATAACGACCTTGACCCACATGGAAAATTTCAAAATATATATGTAGGTATATGTAGGTTTAGTTTTTTCTTAAAATGTTGGCCATATGTGGAGTAGTAATAGTGGCCCGATATATCCAATTTACCATTCCATAGATCTATAAAAATTATAAATATGTATCAGATTGGACCGAGTAAAAAAAAAAACAGGGAAAAATGCGCATTGTGGGATAGTTACCACAAGTTGGACATTATTGTGGAATTTCGCAGCTGAACTAAGCCTGAAATAAATATTTCGATTTACAAAGTTCCAACTAAATCAAATACTTGAAAGAATTTAATTTTTTTGAAAATTATACATTTTTTGGGAAAGATTCCACACAGCGTTGACCGACATAGTTCAACGTCTTCTTTGAGCTTAGTTTGACTTTTGTCAAACTTGCAAAAGTTGGAACAATTCAAATACTCCTTTTGAGAGTTGTGCCCAAACCAAAATTTTGCAAGTCAAAATTTAATTGTTTTTATACCCTCCACCATACTATGGAGGGTATATTAATTTTGCCATTCCGTTTGTAACTCCTCGAAATACTCATGTCAGACGCAATAGCGTAAAATTTTAAGACGATTTAGCGATGTCCGTCTGCCTGTCTGTTGTAATCACACTATATTTCGAACGAATTGAGATAGAAGGCTAAAATTTTGCACACATGTATATTTTGCCAGTGGGCAGATTAAGCTCGTAATTGGGCCATGTAGGTCTACGTTATCATATAGCCCCCATATAACGGTACCTCCCGATATTCGGTATTTTGATGATTTTAGCGACATTATTCACCGGAATTGTTTTAAATTTGGTATTTGATATTCGAAATGGATACTACAGCCTTAGAAAGAAAATTGTCTGTGCAGGTCCACGTCTTCGTATAGCCCCCATATAAGGGTACCTCCCGATATTCGGCATTTTTATGATTTTTCGCGACATTATTTACCGGAATTGTTTCAAATTTGGTCTTTGAAGTTCCCAATGAATACTACAGCCTTAGACAGAAAATTGTCTTTACTGGTCGAAGTCTTCGTATAGACCCCATATAACGGTACATCTCGATATTCGGTATTTGATTTAAGCTACATTATTCACCAATTTTTTCTAAGTTTCGCATTTGAATTTTGTAATGTCTTATGACAAAAGTTACCTATGCAGGTCCATGTCGTAGTATTGACCCATATATAACAGCTACATTCGGTATTTCTAAGATTTTAACAGAATTTTGTAACAGATTTTATTGTTTTTGAGAATTGCCAATTTCGTACCAAATGGTGGAGGGTTTTCAAAGTTCGGCCCGGCCGAATATATAGCTTTTTTACTTGTCAAATTTTAAATCATTTTTATTTATCTCTTAGTCCGCATTTACAAAACGAGTAACCCCAATACAAATTTGAGATTTCTAGCTTTATCCGTTCGCTAAATAATTTTAGAACTCGTCCGTCTGCCTGTTTTGTTGGCTGGTGCGCATGATAACGATCGAAGGGAATGTTTCTTTTTTTTAAATTTCACAATTCTCCATATTTCTACTAGCGCAAAGTCGGATTTGAATATGGTAGCTTTCTATCCGCTCCTTCTGATACCTCGCCCCACAAAAGGGGTCAACATTTTCAATAACCATGAAGCTCATAAAAATCATTTTTTACACATTTCAAATAATTAGTGTAATTTTATAGCCAAGCTAAATTGCTTACCAAATTAAAAGCTATGTTTTTAATTTCTCACCAAAATGTCTACATTTCCAAATACACACACACACACACACAGACACAAATAATCCCCCCAAAACATGGACGCATTTGTTTAAATTACAAATTGTCTTTTACCAAAAATGCCTTCGGTGTTAATTTGATTTGGAAATAAGTATGTTTGAGCGAGGTGCGTTGTGTCGCCGTGTTACGCTTTGGGACACAGCCAGTACAGGCCAGTCAGCTATTCGCGATTATCTTGCTCGTTTCGAATATTTTACAAATTACCTTTAATTTATTTGCTTTTTTCCTTTTATTGTCCACATACATTTACAGATACCACGTAAGTGGTTTAAATCCCTGCTGCTATTCGCTGTGATCGTGGCGAGCCAAGTCAAGACGGTAGAATTACAGCCAATACATGTGATCGACGAAGATGAAGGTGGCGAAATACAAAAAGAAATGATGGAATATGCCCCACAATTTGTAAGTAAAAATTTGATAGTTATTTTTATGAATTGTACAAAATTGTAAAAGAAATGCCCTGGAGGAACCTCTATCTCCAAATATCAACATTTGGTCGACAAGAAGGGTTTCTTTGGGAATCAAATATATTGATAATTTTTTCAGGATTTTTCTACCCAACAACACAATGTGCTGGGGGTATTATAAATTTGATTGGGCCAAAAATTATGTAACACCTCGAAATACTGTTTTCCCACATAGGAAAGTACATATGGATCTTCCTATCTCACCGAGCTAAGTCGATCTAGCTATGTATGTCCGTCCGTCTGTCCATGTTAATTTTTAATCAAGCTATAGGTCGCAATTATGGCCCGATCCTCACGAAATGAGAATGAAATGGAGGTGGTGTTAGGGCCGGAATAGAACCCTATTGGAGATGGTTGTGCAATATTTAGGGATTGATTGCAAAATAGGAACAATATATAACTATCACATATATATATATATATATATATATATCTTATTTATTATGCTTATAAGTCAAAAACATTTTTGAATTGTAAATTTTTACACCCTGTAACACTACGTTTTTTTGGTATTATATGCATGTCGCAATTATCGTCCAATACTTACGAAATTTTGCATGGAGATAGGGTTATGGTCAGAATTAAAGCCTATTGTTCTTAAGATTTACATTTAGGGGTTCAAATTTACTAAAAAATTAAAAATTTTCTAAGTCACGGAATTTTGCAACAGGAGAGAGTTAGGGTATTATTTTTGACATTATTTTTAAAAAGAAATCTTCCACAATGGATTCGGACATAAGGGGACTTCGAACAAATTGTAGTATTGTAGAGTAGCACATGGTCGGCCCCGCACGACTATAGCCTTTGCTTAATTGTTTTTTTTTTAGATTTGGTATTTAGAGATTTTAATGTGGTATAACATTATCTATATAAGTCGACATTCACATAGCCTTAAAATAACAGCACTTCCAGATATTCGGTATTGTGCCGATTTTTATCGGAATTTTTTGAAATTCGATATTTGAAATTCCAACAAGGTCCTTAATATCAAATTTTGGGATTCCCGCACAATTCCTTTACCCAATACCCAATTCAGGACCACTTAGTACTTTTTGAGCAATTATATTACGCATATCCAAAACCAGCCCCTTCTCTCATCCACAGATATACAGTGACATCTATATCAAATTTCCGGATCTCAACTCTATTCGTTCGCTCAATACCAAATTTTGTACTATTTACATCTATTCGTACAATTAGAGTGCAAACATAGACGACAATATCAAATTTTGAGGATTCCAGCCTTATCCCTTCACCCAATACCCAATTTGGAAGCACTTTGTACTTGTCGAACAAATGTACTTCACATTTCCAAAACCACTGCTATATCTTAAACACAGACACCAATAGTGACATCTATATCGAATTTCAGAATTTAGTACTTTTCCGAAATCACCTCCATATGTCCAGACTACACATGAATAGCGACCCTAATAAAAAATTTCAGATTTCGACCTCTTTCTGCACCATTGTAACATTTAGTACACTTTACGCACTTAGTACACATTTCCAAAACTACATCCATATCTCAATTCTAGATACAAATAGAGACCTCAATAACAAATTTCTGGGTTCCAGCCCTATCCCTTAAACAAATACCCAATTAAGTACCACTTAGTAATTTTCGTACACCAACAGTGACATCTGTATCAACATTCTGAATTTAATCTCTATCCCTTCAACCAATACCAAATATAGTATCATTCGGTACTTTCCGTGCAATTATAGCACACATTTCCAAAACCACCTCCACAGCTCAATTTCTGACACCAACAGAGACCGCAATATCGAATTTCAGAATTTCCTCCTCCCTCTCTCTCTCTCTCTCTTTATCCATGGCAAAATATGGTACCATTCAGTTCTTTTCCTACAATTATTGTACATATTTCCGAACACAATTCCAAAACTAACTTCGTATACAAAACTTTATTTCCGACCATGATTCTCACACAAAATTTCAAGTTTTAGCTCTAATCGTTTACATAATACCAAATGGTACCATTTTACAAGTTTATTTACATTTTAGAACGTTTCCTAAATTTAAAGTTCGATTTTCCAATAACCCTTTCTGAGCATCTATCCTGCACTACATCAAATACTCTCATTCCAAATTTCAGAACTACATTGGTTCATCACATTTCCAATTTGTACCAAATTTTGTACCGTTTAGTGCACATAAGTACGAATTTCCAAAGCTCCCTACATACCACAATCCTACACTCCGACATTTATCTCAATATCCAAATTTGAGGACTTTACCCCTGTTGGTTCGCCCAAATACAAATTGTACTTTATTTAGTACATTTTAGTACATATAAGTACAAATTTCCAATCCGACCTACATATCCCAATCTTACACTCGGACAGTAATCACATTTCCAAATTTCAGGATACATATTGTACCACAAAAATTACATCATACTGTCCGATAGAAATCTTATTTCCGAATTTCAACACAATTGGTTCACCCAAAATTTAAAAAGTACCAAATTTTTTACCATTTAGTACACATAAGTACAAATTTCTAAAACTACCTACATATCCCAATCCTACACTACAACAGTAATCCCAATTCCAAATTTTAGGATACCAGCTCTTTTGATTCACCCAAATCCTAATTGTACCAAATGTAGTACCATTTAGTACATATAAGTACGAATTTCCGTAACTACTTCCATCAGGCAGTCCAATAGAAATCTTATTTCCCAATTACAGGATTCCAACAGGACTCCAACTTCTCCCAAAATTTAAATTGTACCAAATTTGGTATCAGTTAGTACACATAAGTACGAATTTCTACTACAAACATTCCTCATTCCTAAAATGAAATTATTTCCAAATTTCAGAATTCGAGCTCAATCGGTTCACCGAAATTGTACTAAATTTAATACCATTTAGTACTTTTCGTGCACATAAGTACAAATTTTGAAAACTTCCCCTACGTTTTGGTACTTTTAGTACACTTATAGTGCGAATTTACAACATTTCGAAAATTTCAAGATTTCAACTTCAGCCGTTTTCGTCAGTCAATTACCTTATTCTTTTATTAAAATAGATTTCGAAAATTGTCTTTATATCCCAATCCTACACTTCGCAAGTAATGTTAATTTCAAATTTCAGAACTCCAGCTCCAACCGTTCCTCCAAATTTAAAAAGCACCAAATTTAGTACCGTTCAGTACTTTAGTAGAGTACTTTCCGTATAGATTAGTACACACTTTCAAATCTACCTCCTTCTTTCGACCCTACTTCTCAACCTTGATTACATTCACTCAATACCAATAGAATAAAATTAGCATCTTGAGGAACTATTCGTTAGCCGTTAGGTACGTATAGTACTAGGGTTCTAAAAATTTACTTATTTGATAGTATTTTTGATCATTTGAAATATAATTGTGTCTCTTCGGGCTACTCACGTGTGTAAGTTAAACCAGTAAAGGAAGTCTTAAAGTCGGGCGGGGCCGTAGTAGAGCTCCGCATAACAATTAAACGTTTTAATGGGAGAATTCAACATACACGCTATAATTATAATATATATATATATATATATATATATATATATATATATATATATATATATATATATATATATATATATATATATATATATATATATTTCAGTTAATTTGTTCAATGTTTTGTATGATATTCTAGAAAGCAGTTTTTTGTTGATTGGAAACATAATTCTACCTCACATTTAAGGCAATACACTGTTGTTCTAGATGTGCAATTCGGCATTTTATAATGAGGTTCGCCTGTTGTTAGGTATTTCGGGATGTGCCCAAAATTATCAAACCGCACGTCACTAGGCGGCATTACTACCCGAACTCGTTTTGGCACATTTTCAGGGGTCTAACATCCTCCAGTGCTTCTTGGACGTCCTTTCCTTATGAATTGTGTGCCAGATTTTACTAAAACTTTGCTGACGTCGTGCAAAATCAGCATTTTATCTGTACGAGGAGATGAAGAGAATTGGCGTTTATATAAAATCCATGCATTTATCATGACCATGTCCATCATATGGTATATAAGACGATTTGTCCATTTGCGTGACTTTATTCTTATGCGGCTTCTACCAAAGCACGAATCCATGAGATCAACACCTCCCATGAACTTGTTGTACTCGTGGAGTATCGCTGGGTAATTATCGATTGGGTAATTTTTCTGGCAATTTGCAGCCAGAAATTCGGTTACGTCGAACTGTTCCAAGCCCATAGATTCCCTGGGTGCGTAAATAAGCCAATAAAGGAATAGTTGTGTAATAGTTATCGAAGAAAATTCTTTAGTTCTTGAAAAGCGGAACTGGACAATGAACCAGACTTGGGAGCAGCAGCAAATGTTTGCTCATTGTCCAAAACATGGTCTTCATTGCCAGAATAAATTTCTAAATTATAGCAGAATCCCATATCGTCACACATCAAAAATAACTTATTGCTAAACGGGTGAGGCTTGTCTGGAAAGTATTGTTTCAAATAGTGGAACAGAGACAAAGTTTCGATTTAGGGCATCAATAAGCGGACGAATTTTATATAAACGATCAATGTTTGATGAATCAGTGTTTTGCGGACGCGATATTCGTCGTCGTGAAGGAGCTGCTTCTTGAGCTGACGGACGTGGCATCTTACTGTTGTCATTTAGATGCAAAAACTGGCGTACCTTGTCATATCGATTTCTCGTCATGGTATTCATAATAGCCGGTATGCCAAATTCACCCCAATACGTCCTGATACTTGGGTACTTGAAGACGGAAATAAAATATGTAATGCCAAAAAAGCGTTTTATTTCGTCTGGCGTTGTATTTAGAGGTTTCGATGAATCCTTTGGAATTGCGTACAAATTGCTTTGGTCTACAATATTAGAAATTAAATTTTACAAAGTAAGAAAAAAATTTGAAAGGTGAATCTAGTGCCATTATTTCTGTTGTCAATTCAATTCG